GGAATGTAAACAGAGGAAAATGTTAACTAGCTAGGGCTATATAATGACTCTGGTGAGTGGGATGAGAACTCCCTCCTGACTTAATGCGCAGAGGACAAGGGACTTCAGGAACTCAAAAGCGAGGTCTAGCACAGACGGTGTTAACCTTGAACCCGAGCCCAGCCTCACATGGCTTTTACCAGCCTAAAAGACTGCAGCCTGCGACCCAAGATGAATCTGTGAAATGGCTTCTCTACAGACCTGAGGCTTCAGCTTTACCTCTTAGGCACATGCTGACTTCCTTCCCCCAGCTGGAATTCAGCATTAAAGACACCCATTTTGCATTCAAATGACCAAAATCTTTACTAGAGAAGTTACCACACTTCCAAAATGCCCATGCCTTGAAATTATCCCTTCTTTCCCGGGACACTCCTAAGTCCCTGTTATCAATCAAACCTTCCATTCCTTCAGGCAGATCTCCCAGATACAAGACTAGCCCTCCCCCAGTCCAGAATAAACGAAGAAACTTTTGACCCAAAAAACTTTAGTTAACAAAATTAGAGAATGACTTAAATTTCTTCATCTACTCATTCACTCATTCAAATACTGAGCATCTGCCGTTCCAGACACTTGGGAAACACCAGTGAGTAAACCCAGATGGCTGCGCCCTGCGGACCTCACATTCTCCGAGACTGGTCCATGGCTTGCACAGCGTCCACGTGGAACCCGGCCAGGCTCCTGGCCTTAGGCTCGCTCCTGCAATTCATTAGAGCCATCAGCTCCTCACTGCATCCGGTCACAATGCACAGTTTACTCAGCCCTTCAGGGTTTGAACTCAGGTGAGGAAAAGTTCCGGGAAAGCATTAACTCTCAACAGGCTGGCTGTGAGCGCAAGGAGAGGAAAGACATGTACACATTAGGGAGCACCCACGAAGCACCAGGATGAGCTCAATGCCGTTCACATGTCACACATGGCCCTGGTACTACACACTGACATTTAGTGCAGGTGAGTCTGTGTCCCTTCAATGGTGGCCCAATGCTTACCGAAACAAGCCCACGCCTTCATCATTGGGACTATGTTTTCCATTCCTGGCCCCATGTTACCTTCCAGCTCCAGCCACACCTCCTTCCTCCACATCCCTCCCTTCCATCCACACTGCGCACCTGCTGCTCCTTGGACAGGCCCTGCTCTATCCTGTCCTGTTATCGCTGCAATCTCTACTGCCCATCCCTCTTCCCACTGCCCATCCCTCCTCCTACTGCCCATCCCTCCACCTACTGACCTTCTACTCACCCTTCAAAATGCAGCTCAACCTCTGCCTCTTCCATGAAGACATTCCTGGCACCCCCAGGATGACAGCTTCTACTTGCACCTCTATCACAACACTTTTCATTTCTCCTTGTACACTAGACACTTGAAGCTTCAGAATAATATAGACAAAGCTCTCAGGAACTCCCAGATCTGCACAATCACCAAAGTATAGATATACGCCCTCAAAATGCACATGCACGACAGGTAGACAACATGGATGAGATAGCTAGTTTCATTTATCCCTTCACTTCTGAAAGTACCTGGACAGTCATGATTCAAATTTACATCTTAGCAATTATACCTGACAATAACCAAAGACACAAATGCTACATTTGTGCATGTTATAGTCTAATTTATTAGATTGTTAAGCCATCTCCTTAAAAAACAAACAAAAAAACTGCTCTTACTATAAATTTATAATAATATATATAATTATAATATATTATATGTAATATAATTTATAAGATTATAAATTCCCTGAGAAAAGGAGCTTGGAATTGTTTGACATTATTAACCTCTGTATCTCTTGGAACACCACAAATTCAATTAAGATATTTTGAAGAAAGGGAATGAAGGGAGGACAAGAATAATCTAGAGTGGACTAGGTTTGCTTGATAATTTTTAAGAATATTAATTAGTAGTCTGACATCAACCTGGAGGGCGTTCTTCCAAGAGGTGACTCCACGGGGGTGATGTCCACACACTAAGGCTGAGGGGGAAACAGGAGGCTTTTGTAGAAGATCTCCCTGCCCGAGGGGCTTGAGAGGAGCCAGCTTGCTTCAAGAAAGTGGATTTTTGGGTCCTTCACGTACCCTGACATGTTAGAGTAAACTAAACCCCAACAATCTAAGAACCAGGCCAACTGAATGGGTGAGGTAGAAAAATGAGTCTGCTAGCACCTGCTTCGGCCTGCTTCCATGACTACTACTCCATTTGAACGAGCACAGCAAAAATACGTTATCTTCTCCTAGAAAACTAAAACATATTCTGCACTAAGAAACATGACTTAGCAGTAACACAACTATTCATTCACTAATTCAACCAAACCTTTACTGAGGGTCACTCTAACAGTCAACACAAAGCAATGGAAACAGGTTTGTTACTTGATCATCATGAAATGTGACAAAGAATTGTCATTTTACTTGTAAGTTAACGAAAGCAAGGCTAATATCTAGCAGCAGCCAGAGTGGGTCCTGGGGGTGTCCTCAGGGTGTCCTCCCTCTCCCTGCCAGGTGGGGCTCTGATAATACTAGGCAACAGTAGCTTCTCCCCGCTCTCCTATGCCATGCCCCAGACTACTGTCCCAAACACATTCCATACAGAAATTATAAAATGGTCTCTGCTTGTTAGGGGGGGGGGACAACCACTAAGGCACTAAACCAAAATTAACCATGTCTTACAAATCAACTCTCTGTGCCACTCTGCCCTGCACTGTTCCCTCCATTCCTCACGGTCCACCGCTGACAGATGGCCATTGTTCTTCCAACAGACAAGTGTATATCCCTTTGGAGGGTTGTTTTACTAAAACTGTAATAATTCCATACCTGTTGTTCAGTAAGTTGCTGTTCTTTTTTCTCAACAACATTTACAGATGCTTTTTCATCACCCAAAACAATCAAATAAGAAACACTTTTAGTGTCTCTAAATTGGCTTATTTTTGTCTTTACAAATTTATCTTCTGCTGATAATGTATTTCTAAAGTACATTATTTTTTTTTTCATTTATCCTCAGCTCACCAAGCCTACTCTATGTTTACTATGGCAAAAACTTCCCTATGTGTTATTAATCTCTTGAGTTTCAGAAACACGTTTTGGTTTTGACATCCTATTGTCAAAGTATTTGCTTTGATTAATCTTATCAGCTTTGCTCTTTGCTTCATGAGTCAAACCTACACAGCAATTTCCTATTTGCATAACAAGTCCAAACCATTCCAGATCATTAATCAACAAAAACCATTTCCCTTAATGGGCAATATATATTTTCTACGGAATGCTAATAGGACAATATATGCATTATGTGTATTGCAAGACACTTTCTCCTACTGACATCTGACCTAATGTCTTGTTCTTCAGGGGAAAAAAAAAAGCTGGCTTAAAGAACTGGGCTCATAATTACCTTTCTACAGGTTTGCTGTTTTCAAACTCAAGTGCATCAAGTAGCCATTGCCATGAGATGGCCAGACCCCTCAGCCCATTCCCAAAGGTGTCCTTTCCTGTGTCTTCCCCTAACCTAAACAGTCCCCGTGGCTAGTGGCTTATTCTTATGCCACTGGGTACCCCAAAGAGCCATAAACAATGGGGCAGCATCAGGGGGCCCTGGTGCTTTTTCTCAGGCAAGAAAATGGGTCCCCACTGAGAAAGTGCACCAGTGCACAGATGTGTAATGATCCAAAGGACACAAGGTGGGGGTGGGAATCCTTCCATAATTACATTTCAATTATTAACATTTCGTGATTTGTGAAAGTTTTTGGACAATTAAAAAAAGTAATATTCATGCCTTCAATCTTACACAGTCCGTCCTCTCAATAACCCGTTGATGCTGGCTCTACCCTTTCCTCTTCTGCACTATACACTTTCCCTTGCAATTACCTTCTTGGACTGAAAGAGCATTGTTAAGAAGCATGAATATCAAAATGATCACTCTTCTGTAACCTTCAGAGAACTCGAAAAGTAAAATTAGAATCAGAGCAGAGCAGAGCATGTGAAAATGAAAAACTACAGGACCATGAGAAGTATTCTGAACTTACCAGACTCACATTAAGTGAAGAATGGCAGTCAGTGACACACATCTCGGGTTCATCAGAACACAGGACGACTCTCCAGAATCTCAGCCCACTAAGCAGAAAACCCCCTCGCCGTCAGAGGACACTGGGGAGACGCAGCCCTGAGACCCTGCATGTCTCAACAGTGCCCGAGGACTCTGCACGCCCAGGGAGAAGGGAGTGACTAACAGCAGAATCAGTGCCTGGCTCCAGGCCGACTTCCTGGGGGCCAGGGTGTCCCTGCAAACGCCAAAATTCCTCCTCCAGAGGTAATGCCTCCTTTCCTCCCTTGTCTTTTCCTATGTTTGAGGGCAAGGATATGACCAGTACTTATCACTAAAGCCACGTCATATTTTATATGCTCCCACAGCTTTAATCCTTAAAATCCTTATTGCATAGTAAGGAAGAAAACAGACGGAGAACAGAACTTACTCTCATTTTTGTAATAACAACTAAAACAAAAGAGATGGCAACCACTTGGAAATAAATAGTCATAAAAGTCCACATTTCATTAATGCAATTACTAATTACAAAGCACCTACTGTGCACCACAGACTGCACTATCTACCAGTCAAGAAAAGAAGCCTGACTACACTGTCAATTAAGCAGTCAGAAAGCAGACAGGTCTTAAACTGTAGTGCCACACCAGTGTACGCCCACCAGCATTATTCTCACAAATAAATACAACTGATGATGTGTGTCGAGAAGGCAACTCATAGACCACGGTGCAACCCCACACTGCCTCCTGGGTTCAGCACACGGGAGCCAGAGGCAAGGCAGCCTGAGCACATGTTCGCAAGCCCAGTTTTTATTTTGGCCAGCAAGGAAGCTCCTATCGTATCTTCTACTTTCTCCTTACACACAGATCTCCCAGTATGACGACGCGCTCACCCAAACTCAGCACAGGTGAGCCATTCCCCATGGAGACGAGCACAGCCTGAGACTCACCTGCTGGACGTCCTGCTGGAACACGCACAGCTGCAGCCTCTGGTGGAGCCGGACCTTGCGGTGCTGCCAAATGTTCTCGAGCTGCCGCTGGTGGTGCAGCACCTCGTGGATGACGTCCAGGACGTGGTGGACGGCCTTGGAGTAGTTGGCAGAGGCCGTCAGGGAATCGGAGCTGCCTGGAGTCAAGGGCCGCTGGAGCTTGTCAAGGAGTGACTTCCCATCTTGGCTCACCTGCACAAAACACATGAGCGATTACTCAGGATTTAAGGGTTCACTCAAGCTGTGCTACAGACGCTGCCCGTGGATGCACGTGTGCACACACAGGCACACTTCCACCCAGGCATTCACACACTGTCGCACACCGAAGTTTTACTCAGAGGTGTATTTTACGTAAGATAAAATAAAACCTAACCGGTAAGTACAACCTCTGTGGAAAGCAATATGGAGATACCTCAAAGAGATACAAGTAGAGCTACCATTTGACCCAGCAATCCCATCACTGGGCATCTACTCAAAGGAACAAAAGACATTCTATAAAAAAGACACCTGCACTCGAATGTTTATAGCAGCACAATTCACAGCTGCAAAGATGTGGAAACAACCCAAGTGCCCATCAATATGTGAGTGGATTAATAAAATGTGGCATATGTATACCATGGAGTTCTACTCAGCCACAAAAAACAACGGTGATATAGCACCTCTTGTATTTTCCTGGATAGAGCTGGAGCCCATCTACTAAGCAAAGTATCCCAAGAATGGAAAAACAACCACCACACGTACTCACCATCAAATTGGTATTAACTGATAAACACTTAAGTGCATATATAGTAATAACATTCATTGGGTGTCAGGCAGATGGGGAGGTTAGGATGGGTACATACACACACAATGGGTGTGGTGTGCACCATCTGAGGGACAACACACTTCAAGCTCAGACTTGAGTAGGGCAAGGGCAGTATATGTAACCTAAACATTTGTACCTCCATAATATGCTGAAATAAAAGAAAAAGAAATAATCAGCACTTCCACAAAATGTCTAAAATTCAGGTATTAAAAACTAAACATGTTGCATTCTGGCACAACTACAGTTACAAGAAGATTAAAGGCAGAGATTAGGACAGTCCGCAGACCTCACTTGCTACCAGGGGCAATGAGGTAAGCTGACTGATAGCCTCCACACCAAGTGCTGGTGGCAAGTTCCTCTTCCCTGCTGCCAAGAACTAGAATGAGATGGCTAGAGCTTCAGCATGGCTGAATGATGGCTATGGATGACTCTGAGGTAATCTTAAAAACAGCAGCCCACCTGCTAAAAAATACAATATAGAAAGAGGATCTTAGAGATAATTCCTCTTACTAACAGCTACCCCATTAGCCATGCAATGCCAGCCTTTGGATTTCTTTTACACAGGCAGACAGCCAATCTCTATCTCAAGCCATTGTTTTGAATCTTAAACCATCAATACAAAATGAGTTCCTAGCCTTCACCAAGTTTGCAAAAGGAATCCATGTGACACCATTAATATTCTTCTACTGAGAATGGAATACTTTGAACAATAATATTCCAATGAAAATGAATCCTTCCTTGAGTGTCTTTGCAACCGTTTAACAGATCTCAGTAGCAGATATCATGACTGAATTTCCAAGGACACACTGGCTCATGGTGGTGGAAAACGTCTGCTGAGCAGTGAATACCTTAACACGAGACAACTCACTGAGCAAAGCTCCACCATCCGGGAATTCATAAGCAGGGGTCAAAGCATCTTCGCTGGTGGTGCCACCACTGGTCTGTCATTTGCTGGCAGCGACAGTGGCAGTAAAGACCCAGGCAAGAAAACACCTGTTGTCCTCACTACAACCAGACAGCCTGGGACTCTAAATGCACATTCACATATAGCATTTCTCCAAAAACCTTTGTGGAAATAATTCTCTTTTATCTCAGCATAGCTTTTGCAGATTTGGCAATTAAAAAGTATTATTTAAGCACATGAAGGGAAGCATATATATTTTAGTAGCTTTTAGCAAAATGTCTTTGTCTTTGTTAAGCATGGTAATATGTGAAAAAAATGCTCCAATTTTATGAAGACTGCTGTTCTACTGTACAGCAATGATTTAAAGTGGCACAGAATAACCAGAAGAAAATTAACAAAAGGAGAGATTGTAAAGTACACAGCAGACAAAAAATTCATATATAATTTAAGCACTAAAACAAGTAATATAAGTTTACAGTATGTGATGGTCCACATTTCTTCAACTACAGAACCAGGTGAATGAATTTACTTCAGTTTAATGTTTTCTTTAAAACTCTGTTTTTAGCTTCTAGGCACTCAAACTGTGTCCCACAAAGAGACAACGGCCACAAAAAGAAAATAAACCTTCATTAACAAATAGCAGGACTTTTCTCTAATTTTTTAACAGATCAAATCAGTTCATTTTTCAGTCTGCTCTTTGTTTTTCTTAGAATACAGGCTGAGGGACCTGAAGGGCAATCAAAATTACATTTTACAAAGAATAACAATTTGTAAATATTTGAACTAATGTGCTCTAATACCTAAATGAGTTAAGAAAAATGCAAGTACCTATTAAAGCAAAAAAAGTAATTGCAGTTTAAAATTTTACCGCATCAAAGGTAATATTTAAGAGAAAACGTAATTGTTTAAAATATAGAACAATGTCCTGGTTCTCGAATATTTACTTTTAACCAAAACAGCACATAAGATTTATAACTTGGATTTCTGCATGTCATCCTTTAAAAAGTTCCATAAAACTTCACTCAGACTTGCCTATTCTTATTTCTGGTACCCGGATCTCTATATTTCCCATTAAATAGAATTAGAGCTTAGAGTCTCCAGCAGGAATATTTTTCACTTGCACAATGGACAAATGTTGCTCTAAGGAAAAAGAATAGTACCCAGACTTACTGCAAAAGCAACAACCACCCAAAGGACTACAGATATGTCAATTAGGTATAAATGGAGTGCTTTGGATCTAGAAGAGCTAGGAAATGATATTCCCAAGATGTAACAAAAATAGGCAAAATACACAAAAACACTTAGCCTGTCACAAAGAAATGGCGGTCCTTCAAAACATACATGAAATGAATCACACCGCCTGCACTGACTCAGGCCCACACTGCTTTAATTATTTTGCAGGCTTGTCCTGCCGTGGCCTGCAGAGCACAGACCTCCACAGGAAGCCTGGGAATGATTTCTCTCTCTTCTCCAGCTCTTGATGAAATTATTCCCATGTCAAGGTTCTAATAAAGCAGAAAGAGTGGAAAAGGGTCAGTGAGTGAGTGTCCAGCTTATTTTGTAGCATTAGTTAACACTGCTCACCCAAATAGCTGAGCCCTGTGTTTCTGGGTAAGGAGGCCAAACCTGTCTTGGCTCCAATGGCTACGTTGAGAAGCTCCCACCAATAATGCAGGCCAACTGCCTCACATACTGGCAGTGACTTATTTTCCCATGCCCCAGAGAGGCCACCCAGTAAAGGACTGGCTGGTTCTTTCTCTAGACAAAGTTCTTATGCAATGGACCTCCAAAAGCTGGTTTCTATTTCTTCTGCCTATTCAGTTTCTTATTCAAAATCAGATCAGTCTAACCTTGTTTGACTCTCTGGCACCTCTATCTGGGATTATCAGAAAGGAAAAACGAAATAAGATGGAAAGAGGAAGCTGGAGCAGCCCCGTTGGTGTAAGCCAGATGGACACTTGTGTTCTCTAGATTGCACTTGGGTTCACTTTTGTTGCTCCTGCATTTCAAGCCCTTGCAAGGAAGCCCTCAAGCCGAGTTTGGGGTGAGGAGAAGACAGCTATTATGTGGACCGCCGGCTCTGATGCAGTGTGAGATGCTCACTAGCACTCCGTACCATCTACAGCAATGCTGCAGTCTCAAAACACCACATTGTAAGTGACGCTACGGCTTCCACGCACACCACAGAGAGACAGTTTTAGTAACGTTCCCACCCAGGTGACTCGTTTTGCTGTTTTCCCTCTTATGCTAGGAGCCGATCATGCCATCACTCATTCATACAGTGCCTTTCAAAAGGAGCTCGACCAGCTTCACAGCAGCAAATCAGTCATTCCCCCAAGGCCCTGGGGAGATGCACACTAAGTCAGCCCACTTGTAAAACTGAGAAACTGATGCAGAAACTAAACCCTGAAGTCAACCAGGATCGGGGCAGGGCAAGGCCCTGTGGCGCTTCACCCTGCTCCTGTCCCAGGGCTGTGCTTACCAGGCAGTCGCGCTGCACGATGCAAACAACTGGCATTCAGGCTTAAAAAGGACACGACATACTGAGATGAAAGTCACGTTTACGAATTTAATTTGTCGAGAAACTAGCAGCTGAGTTGCCTTACTTAAAATGTTAAGAATAACTACTCTACATGCTGTTTTGAAAACTACAGCTTATCTCAGATGTTGATACCGCACCACTCTCCTCTGATCACCTAGAGCAGACAGTATCAGCCCCAGACCTGCAAGCTGAAGCAAGCCAAGCTTTTATGAGGCACAAGTCTGCTCCTGTTGCTGAAACACAAACAGTAGCAACATGGGACAGGTTTAATTAAAACACAGTAAAGCAGGTGTTTGTGTCCTGAAAAAAAATGCTGGGAAGGTTTCCCACAGAAAATTTACTATCATCAGAGATTAGAGACTGTGAGCACTGTTTAAAGAAAAACACTGTAGGAAAAAGAAAGGGAAGGAGTGAAGGAGGAAGGAAGGAAGAAGAGAGGAAGGAGAGAAAAAAGGGAATAAGAAAAGAGGGGAATAGGGAGGCAAGGGAAAGGGGGCAAAAGCAAGCCCTGCTTATAAACGTGCCCACGCTAAGGACCCTGACCCAGCTCCATGTCTCACAGGCTCAATACCTGTGGGGCAGACACCTACCTCACCAGCGGACCCAGAACTCTTTACAACAAGGTTACCAGTGTTTCTTCTCAACATGTCCTGTCAAATCATTTGCATCAGAGTTGCTGGATCTCTAGGGATACCCATTAAAACTGGAGATTCACTATCTCTGGGGGCGGGGGGGAAGTATTGCTGCCTTTTTAACCAAGACACTCATATTTTAAAAACAGTGATGTAGGGAAAGAAAAATAAATAAATAAATAAAAGCAGTCTTTCCCTTCCCATCGTCCTCCCTCTTCTCCTTCTGGCATGAAGAAAATGACACAGTGAGGGATGCAGGTGTCCTGTCCCAGGCTTTTGAAGGAGGGGGACAGTAGGGGGTTTGGGGGTGGCATCCCCCGAGGAGAGGTCGGCATTTGTGCCCACTGCTGTGGCTGCTGGAGGAGAACACAGACCTGCCAAGGAAGGCACGGCCGGAGGCAGCCCAGGAAGAGAACTGCATGGGCCCAGGAGGTCAAGGGTCATGCTACAGAAGAGAAGGCCTGTGCTCTCCAAGAATGTCAGCGACATGAAGGCAGAGAAAGACTAAAGAATGTTCCATCTTGAGGGAGACTGATGAAGCATGTCAACTAAACGTAGTATATGTTGCTGGATGGCGTTCCAGACTAGGAAAGAGAAAGAGACATCCTTGGAACAGCTGGGGAAATAGCAATGGGGTCTGTGGCCAGGATGGTTGTGTTGTATCAATGTTGATTTGCTGATTGAAGGGGGGGAGGAGCAGATGTGGTAAAAATGCTAAACCTTGAGAAATCTGGGTCGAGGCAATGTGGGAGTTCTCTGTGCTGTTCTACCACTTTCCTACAGGCCTGAAACCATTTCAAAATTTAAATAATTTAAAAGGCAAAAGAAAGTTCATTCTGTTTTACTGAAGATCCTATCAGTTCATCCAGTTCAGACTACTGTCTCCTTGAATTTATAGCTCAGTTCCAAACATGTTCTTAGGCTAAAATTATGGTTTAAGACCTCAGCCTGGGAGGTGGTTTACTTCTCATCAAATTATTTTGAATTATTAGTGCCAATGTTAACCAAATGAAACTACATCACAGGTAAACATAAGTTCCTAGGTCAGTATGCTCCGTTTTTATAGAATGCAGTGGTAACAGTTAGAGGTTCTGTATTTAAATAAAAGTGCCCAAGGCAAGGCTGGCTGGGCTGAACCGGCCAGCTAGGCTGGAAGAAGACACTGGTCAGGTCAAGGTGATTCCTATGTAGGTCATGCACAAGCGGAGACTGTAACCCAGCTCCTACCAATCGTCTTGTGAATGAAGGCTATTCAATTCTATCTTGGTAGGGCGAGGGCATGCAGACGGCTGGCTGCAGCCCCGCCACTGCAAGTGAATCACAGCTCCCAAGTAAAGGATTCATGCAGATGAGTGAAGACTTCATTACATGAATGAGTGACAGGGTCATTCATTTTCTGTATTATAGGTCGAAATTATACAATGCATAGAGGTAGCACACTAGAGGAAAGAACTTGATGATTTTTAGAACTCACATAATCCTCATGAATCAATGTCGCAAAAAACATTACAAACTTTGTTCAATTTTCAGTTTTACTATAAAAAGGCTATCACTTATTTAAACAGTTTCTAATAAACTAGATAACCAAATTAGTTATAAGAAACACTGGATGCAAAATTAAGAAACATAATATGGAGTTGACTATTTTTTAATTCTATGAGCACAGGAAATGGTGCTTTAAAAACAGGGGCATGTTGTTAGGCAAAAAAGTGGCTAGAGGAAGATACAATTAAATATCAACTTTCATGGGAAGAAAGATTACCCACATTATGAAGCAAATATACAGTCATGCATCACTTAATGTCAGGGATGTATTCTGAGAAATGTACCATTAGGTGATTTCCTGTGTGTGTGAGCTTCATAGAACATACTTACACAAACCTAGACGGTAGAGAAAACTACTACACACCTAGGCGACATAGTGTAGCCTTATTGCTCCTAGGCTGAAACCTTATAACACCTTACTATACTGAATTCCGTAGGCAACTGTACCACACTGGTAAGCATTTGTGTATCTAAACATAGGAACAGGTACAGTAAAAACATGGTATTATAACCTTATGGGACCACTGTCATACGTGTCTGTCACTGACTAAAACGTATGACTGTAGTAGCAAATCACATGTCCACTTAATTCACTCACGGGTCAAGAGACCCAAGCCCAAAGACACGAGAGTGACAGCTGGGCAATGAAGCACAACAGGAACTGTCAGAATGAAATGCAGATGGCCCATTTCTTCCCAAAAACTCTGACAAGTGCAGATGTGGTTCAGATCAAGATTTAGATTTAAATATAGCAAGCATTTATTAAACGTCTACTCTGTGCCTAGTGCTCTGCTAGGTGCTTTGAAACACTTTCTTCTGGAAGCCACACAACAGTCTTACTCATTTACATGGAACATTATAGCCACAGATGCTTCCTGTTAAGGAGGGAAACCTTGTAGAAAAAAGCAAGCGCAGAGAATCTCTCCCCAGCCCCACTGCGCCTCCAGGACTGTAACCACTATTATAAAGGCAGGCTGGTTCCAAGGGCCAGATGAACGAGACATAGGCAATCGAGGCACTCAATAACCCAGACAACCTATCTGTAGCTGTCGTCATCGCTGGCTCCAAGGGCCTGATGAGCAAGGCACAGGCAAAGTGGCACTCGTCAACCTGTCCAAAGTTGTGGTCCTTATGTAGCTACCATGTAGTAGGGCTCAGAGGCAGCAGAGAGGTGACAGAGGACATGGAGCCAGCCTGCCTGGGCTCACACCCCACTCCGCCTGCTGACCTGTTAGATTTCTGTGCCTCAATTTCTTCATTTGTAACAGCAGGGATAGTAACAGTACTTGCCTCAGAGTTGCTGAGCATTAAATAAATCATTACCTAACAACAAATTTTGTTACAACAAAGCCTGGCACAGAATAAAGTAGCAGAAAATTAAACAGGGATGCATTCAATAAATAACATAACATACCCTAAATTAACAAAGAAAACTTTACACTTAGATTTTTAAAATAGACAGTAAGTAGCGTTACATACTTACAAAAAAGGTGCACCTTGCAATCCAGACCATCTTTTCTAAAAAGTTCCACTTTTAGAAAGATTAAATTCAGTTGGACTAGACTGAATGGCACACAAAAATACATATTTCTTAAATACATGCAGACAATAAGGTCAGACTTTTACTTATTTTAGCAGATGAAAATACGAGCATCCTAAAGGAAATCCACAAATGTCTCGGGGCCATGGAGAGCTGCCAGCTGTGCACCAGCCCGCGTCACTTACTGTCCACACACGCTGGAGTTCAAATGGCAAACAACTGAACTGCAGTTTAACCTGAAACCAATAAGCTTTTTATGGCTAGCCAGAACTTCCATCTTTTCGGCTGTTGGTGCTATGGTGTGAAAGTAATGCTGCTTTGCAATTTTAAGTGAAACTTACCTCAGAATAAGCAAGCGTGATGTGTTCGTATATTCCCTGGTGGTGATGGATGGCATCTTCTAGATCCTGCAGCTCTGAGGGAAGGTCTACCTCACCGCAGGCTTTACACCACGAATCCACATTGCTCATATACTTGGAAGGTTAAAAAAAAAAGATTATTTCTATGAATGACAATTTATTTTGAGAAGTGGATATTTTTTAACATGGTTTTTGAAAAGTAGGGTAGTTGAGGGAGCTTCTAAAAATGTAGCAGGGCCCAATCTCCACCTCAAATGGTGTTAAATGTGAGTTATCAAACGTGGTTCCTGGACTCCACCCCCCCCCCAGAGTGGGTTCTGGCAGGACTGGGCTGGAGCCCAGGAACCTGCATTTTAAATGACTGCCTCAGCTAACTGCTGCCCAGGGCGGGGCCTGCCTCTGGAGCAGTGAGATCCTGCAGGGTGTGACTGGGGCATCCTCGTGAAGCTTCATTTGCACTTCACCTGCCCAGCAATCCGCAGCCTCAATAGCAGACGGGGCTTCCCTTTGGAGCTGTTTCCCAGCCTTGCAGCTTTCCTCTGACAATAAAATGCTAATGAAAAAGTCTAGGGTATCTAAAGTCATTTACCTAACACTAGGAAGGGCAGCCAGCCCATTCTGCTACCCTTTCAAAAGGAAATTAACACTGGAATTGAAAGGAGACCAAGTAAAGGGAGCCTACACTTCTCCACTGCAAATCTCAGGAAAGGCTTAGGGAGGCAGTGGAGTCATACAGGTCTTTCCCTATTTGCCCGTGAACAAGTCTGAGCCTCACTGACAGCCCAGGCTGCTGATGGCCAGTCTTCTCCACCACAACCCACATCTCCAGGATTCATCAATAGCTGATCAAACACTGCCAAATTTCCTAGGGAGATCCTACTGGAATCCATCACGGTTAAGTGTCAAAGGCAAGTGCAGAAAGCCCAATTTAAAAAGCTAATTGAATTAAGCCAAATAGACATCAACAGATTTCCCTGGGTTTTAACCTCTTTCACTCCAGTTCCTTGCATGTCTTTATACTTAGCAGGGAGTGCAGAGGATGGCTACTTAAAATGTAGTAACTGCCCAGAAAGGAAGTGAACTATAAATCTCCTAAAATATAATGAGAATAACCTCCCAGTTACTTATGGCATGTTTAGTACCTTAAAATAGACAAGTTACCCAAACAACTGTCGGCTGGGCAAGGTGGCTTACATCTGTAATACCAGCACTCTGGGAGGCCAAGGCGGGAGGATCACTTAAGCCCAGGAGTCTGAGACCAGCGTGAGCAAAAGCAAGACCCCGTCTCTACTAAAAATAGAGAAAATTAGCTGGGCGTGGTGGTGCCTGCCTGTAGTCCCCAGCTACTCAGGAGGCTGAGGCAGGAGGATCACTTGAGCACAGGAGTTTGAGGTTGCTGTGAGCTAGACTGATACCACAGCACTCTAGCACAGGTGACAGAGCACAAGATTCTGTCTCAAAAAAAGTACTAATAATTGTTTATGAAAATTCCTCTATTATTAATGTATTATTAGCTCAGAAAAATATCTGTATGAAAACCTTAGGACTTGAAACCAATTCATATGACATTAAGTATCACCTGATAGCAGGTGGTTTCTAAGTATTTCTTAGGTGGAGTGTTTTATAAATGTCAATTAGGTTAGGTTTGATAATTCTAAGTATTTTTGAACTCCACTTCACTCCATCTTCTTCCATTGTGGCTTTTAATACTAATTATTAAATTATTATAAACCTTTTTCAAATACAAATTGAGTTTAACCATCATCATTAATAAATTATCAGGTCCAAGTGAGCAATTAATTATTCCACTGCAAAATACTCAAGACAAAGAGTTACTACATATTTTTAAGAAAAGATCAAAATGCTTCTGACAGATTAAGATGAAAACAAATTTTAGTTATATTTCACCATTTAATGAGAAGTGTTGGACTAATATATTTCTGTATCAGAATCACCATTAAAATATATTCAATTCCAATTTTTAAAGCAAGCAACAAAGAAAAAACGTTCAAGAAGCTTTATGTATTCCCATAATTAGAAGTAACTTACAATTTCTTAAAGTATCCTGAGAGGCCGTTGATTATACTTATCTGGAAAAGTACAACCAGGTTCTAAATAGCTAGGGAAGGATGGTTTGCCACATGGAAATCTTGTAGAAAAAGGATTCTTTTTCTGGGTTACTGCAGCCCAAATGAGAGAAATAGTCCTGGCTATGGTTTAACAGGGAGTTCTGCACAAGCATCATTTTTCTGCCCTTTATTTCTAAGTCAGCAACCCTGGACTTCAAAGGGCAACTTCTAGGCCTTGGCTGCTTTCTGAATGACTGTACCCCTAAAGGGTCTGAACCCAGTGCCACCTGCAGAGCAATTCCCATTTAGAGATCCAAGGAAGAGGGTGTTAACAGTTATTTCACAAATAAAAGCAACCAGAGGTCAAGTTTGGTGTAAAAATCAACAGGTCCCCATATAAGAGAACCTCTTTAAGCCTTTTAATATGATAATGAGCACAGTGAATGAGGGTGGGGGCTGGTAAGTTGGTTAGCAAACTTACCTGACCACTCTACTATACATCACCCTCCTACACACATACACATACCCCTACTGCCACCTTGAGAAACCCAGGTGGAGAGGGCAACACCTGGGGAATATGTCTAGCACCGAACCTGACACTTAGGAGATGATGACATAAGGTGGCTCTGTAGTCAACCAGACCAGAGCAGCCAGCCCAATATCTGATGTAAGTGCTCAGCAGATCAAAATATGTGAACATACAGCATCTGGCAGACTGGGGGCAAGACAGGACAGCACAGGAGCATTAAACGCTGCTCCACGAATTCAGATCAGGAGCCTGCTTCAGGACTAGGAATTTGGATACTGAGCAGAATGGTGCATTTTTAAAGTATTACTGAATGGAAGAAGATGAAAGAAGTCTGGGCCAGCCAGTTTGCAAAATAGAGGCAAGCAGATGAAAGAAGAATGATATATACAGCCTGCAGAGAAGAACTTGAATAATTAATTAGCACTTTCCCATAAGCATTTATTCCACAACTCTATCTGCTGACAGGGGCCCCCAACCTGGCTCCCACCATCCAGAGTAAGTGGGGGTCCTCCTGGCTCGTGAACTTTAGTTCCACCTTTCTCTCACCCCACTGCCTCTGGATGTAGCCTCAGCTGAGCACAAGTGCTTAGCCCGATTTAGGAGACCAAGGGACTGAAACTTCCTAGAATGAGTGCTTTCATCTATAAGTCATGTTTGTAGTAAATGTTACTTCTAAAATTGCTATGGAAAGTGAAATTTTATAAGAACATTAATGGAAGAGCTAGTCTGTTATTAAGAACTGGCTTAGCCATAGACCTCAATGCAAGTTCCAGCTTTGGGAACATGGGCAAATCGCTCCCACAAAGGATCATCAGGACAACATTACCACCAGCCCCGTCTACTGTATTGGGCTGATTTAGGATGGAATGAGATTTCCTATTAAATAGCTCTGTAAATGTTAAGGAACGCTACAAATACTAGTTGTCACTTTATTTTTGGCTCTTATCAAAGTGTAGCAGCCATCAAAGTCGCAGACAAAATGAGGTGCTCAGGTTTATGCTTCGCTCTGCAGGTCAGCCTCTCTCAGCACAGCCTGCTCCAGGGTGATGGAAGCATGCACCTGCACCGGCACGGCAGCCTCTGGCCACCTGCTCTCCTGAGCCTGGGAAATGTGGAGACTGCGAATGAGCAACTGCATTTTAATTTAACTCCATTTTTAAAAATTATTTTATCTCATCAGTTAATGTGATGTAACTTTAAGTAGCTTCAACAGCCACAGGTGGTGACTGACTACCACACTGGGCAGCGTGCTAGGTCACAGAAAAAGGAGATTTTAAGGTGTGGCAAAATCAAGTCACTTTAATTGTTTTATAAAAATGTGATTCTAATAATATTTGCCGTGAAAGATTCTTACTGTAAAGGGACTGTACTGTGGATATACCACGTGACCAAGAAAAGTGGAGACTGGAGCCCCTGAGCCACCTCTACTGGTAAATTCGCTAACATGGAGTGTGTGTCCACATTCACAAATTGATGCTCTGATCCCATATTCACTGGAGAAGGGGACAGGAGACAGAACGGCAGAGACAGCTCTGGAAAGCATAGCATCTGTGAGACGTCATTCCCATCTAGCATTAACTTCCAGACTTACGTGTACAAAGCCGTAAGCAAATACCAACACCAGAACACCCAGGGCGACAGGGCCAGTTGCTGAGATATAATCCTCACAGAGAAGGCTGCCCCTTTCAGGGAGGCTGCTCACCATGGGGTCACATATCTACATCCTGTGTCCCCCCCAAGCAGACCTAAATTCCTCATAAAAACACTGAGAGGTGTGTATAGAGGTGGCTAAGACGGAAACCTAACTTATGACATTCCGGTTTCTGGTCTTTTCCAGACTGAGTTATGAAAACAACTTAAGCATAACTAGAAGGCAAAGGATTTAAAAAGGGGGAACAACGTTGACCTCTTCCTGGTATGGGTCTCCCAGGAAAAAGAAACTACATTAGTAGATGTGAACTTCTACGCATCAGCGTTTCAAAGATCTTACTTTTGTTCGGTGAGGGGGAAAAGACACAATACATTTTTACTTGCAAGTACCGAAACCCTTCCTGAAGACATCCTAATGTCCCATCTGCACAGTTCAGCTGTCTCGGTACAGGCCTCGTGGCTTCATCAAGGTCCAGAACACTCGCTGGGCCCCTTCTTCATTAGGCTACTCTGCCTAAGCTTGTGCTTGGCTTCTCCTCTCTGTTCAATAATATATTCATCTAGTGTAGTTTCCTTCAAACCCATAAATTACACCCACTCATTTTACCCAAATGAAAACACCTAAGGCTTTTTCAACTTTAATGCATGTTTGAAATTTTTGATAAAACACTGGGGGAGGTGGGGGGTGGAAATAAATGCCCATGGCACCCATATTTTAGATTATTTTCCAGCAGGTCAGAACAGCAATTAATCTCCTGGGTTTATTTCCAATTCTGAATCCCACCATGTTCATGAAAGAGATTTTTCTCTTTGTGTTATGCTGCAGCCTATCTGCATTCACCCAAGCAGCTTGTCCTGCTTCAAACTTATTCACATTATCTTAACATCAAATGATCAAGTATGTCGCTACTTCACACAATAAGGATCAGAGGTGGCCACAGGGTCATGAAGACTTCTATTTTATGCTGAAGGAAGTTCCTGTTAAAAAAAATTGTTTGTGTGTGGGCTTTTGTCTATCTCTTATCATAAAATTATTAATAGTTAAATGTACGAGGTTAGAAAGTAGAAAAATCCTTACCATTGAAGCCTGAAAGTCCCCACTCACAGCTTTTATATGATGCTAAGAATATTTTTTTTTCTCTTTATACTACACTGAGTTTCCTCTCTTGCTGCACACTTAAAGGCTTCTGGAGTTGAGATCATTGCTAATTAGTGTCTTGTGCAACACTCTGGCTGCCTTGCCAATATCCTAGGCAAGCTTACCTTTATTGACTTCTTCACTCCAACAGAGACTGTTTCTAAACTAAAGAGATACTATTTCCTTCTTAGATGTGTCAGTGCGAATCTCTATGAATCCAGTTTTCCCCCAAAATTAGCCCTGAGAAAGTTTTATCAGTATTTTGCCTTTTAAATTAAGCAACTCTTACCCATATATATGTCTTCCTAGTGGCTCAAAGTACCTGCGCTTTTTCTCCACATCTTGAAAAGATATTCCACTGTGCAGCACACCTTCCACTAATAGTGTGAGTCATGTGCAAATCCCTTTCATTCTGCCACTTTCGGAGTGTTTATTTAAACAGGTTTGCTTGGGTCCAAGTATATGGAGTGGTAGGGCATACATTCCCCATTACTTCCTTTTCCTTTTCTTTTTTTTAGTTCTATTAGAACTTTTTTTTATCAATCTGGCAGACCAGATTTGACACATCAGAAGCAGTTAACACACCTCTACTTTAGAAAAACTGAGTTTGTACCCTCCAGTTACGAGATTTATCTGTATTGTTTTTAAAAATTATTATGGGTACATAATAGTTGTACATCTTTCTAGGGTACATGTGATGTTTTAATATAGCATACAATATGAATTAATCATATTAGGGTAATTTGGGTATACATCACCTGTGGCATTTAACATTTCTTCGTGTTAGGAACATTCCAATTGCACTCTTTTAAGTTAAAGTATATCCTAAGCTATTGTGCATTATGATCACTTTGTTGTGCTATCAAATATTGTTCATTCTATCTACCCAATGCCTCTTAAGAAGTTTTAAAAGAGTACATCAGCAAATGAAGCCAAAGTCAAGTCAGAATCCATGTATATAATTTCATAATGTGAAAGACACTGGAAGCTACCCACCAAAAGCCAGTTTTCCATCCACTTGCTGGCAGAGCCTCTCTAAGGAGGCTCAAAACTAGGTCTGCCCTTTCCCGCACCCTTGCAGCAGGGTGTGAACCCCAATCCTGGCCAATGGGAACTGAGGAGAAGTGTGAGTGTGCTGGGGGTGGAGGAGCCTTCTGGAACAGTGCTTCCACTACAAAGTGACAGGTGGAGAGAGCTACTGTCAACCCTGCCTCCCCTCCCTGCCTAAGATGGACACTGCTCTTGAGGAGCTGCTACTTCGAGCTGGGGCCTACACCCTGTGACCGGGAGGGTGCAGCCAGGAAAACCTGAGAAGCAGACATCAGCCCTGACACCTGTGCAGCTAGAAGTTCCCACACCCTGAAACTTTTGTGAGAAAAGCAAACCCCTGATGTTTAAACTACTACTGGTAGGCACTGTTACTGCTGCCAAAGCATCCTAATTGGAATAAAAAAGTAACAAGGGGGAAGAGGAAAGGAGCAGGAGAGGGAGGAAGGGGAACAGAACAGCAGCTACCACTTAAGAGTATTTATTATATACCAGGCACTGTGTAGGGCACCTAACATAATTTACCACATTTATGTGATAAAGCAATCCACCCAAGCATATACTTTCATTTCTACTTTACAAATGAGAAAACTAAAGACAGAGAGATTAAATAACTTGCCTAAGGTGGCACAGCAAGGACCAAGAAAACTGGAATTTAAACTCAGGGCTGAGTGACTTCAGAGCTCACTGTATATGCTATGCTACAGTCCTCCAAGGGTTTTGCGCACTCATCAGTGTTACTGGAGGAGAAAGTATTCTTGCAATGTGACTGCCTTGTGGGCTGGGGTTGGAGGCACTGACCTTCTCAGCCTTCTGGTGGAAAATGGAGGACATGTCCAGCAAGGTGCTCCGTTCGTCCAGGGCTGCCGCGAACGCCTTCCACTCCTGCTCCAGCTGATTCGCGATCTGCTTGATCTGCTGCGAGGCATAGTGGCCAGATTCCACCAAGCGATTCGCCACAGACATGATGCGGTTGATGTTCACGTACACGTTCTGCAAGGGCAGGACGAGAGGGCTCCTTAGGGGAAGGCAAGCAAGAGGCTCCCTGATAAGAACCCCAGACAGCACTTGCTGAAACACAGCACTCCATAAGTTACCGTATTTTTAACAGGAGGATCACCTGGTATGTAATATGACACATATTTTCTCTCTGGAGTTCCATAAACTCAAAGTATTGGTTTCAATTTCTATTTTTGAAACTTTAAAAATTACAAATCAACTAGCTGAACGGCATAATTGTGAAGCACAAAGCAATCAAATACATAAGTGGGTGCACACAAATACACTATTACTCACTCCTTGGCTCCCAGCCCCGAGAAGGGTCCAGATGGCAGGCCTCCTGACAAGCAGTCACGCAGAACTGAAGGAACCTAACGTTTCAGTTTTTAACTAGAACCCAGAAACTAAAAAATATGTACTTAGCAACCAAAGGCTATTTGTGTGAAAACAAGCTCTCCTTTCTACTTAAGCCCAAGTCATCTTTTGGTGCCAAGAGAAAATATTCTGTAAATGGATCCACTTTCTCCTAGGAATATGAATTGAGGTAGAAACACAACAATGCTACGTTCAAATTTTAAATAAAGCTTTTCTACTCTGTCGAAATTCCTATCTTCAAGCCCACCAGTTTACTGCAAAAAATAGGGATGCACAGCTTTAAAAAAAAAATCCACTTCTTTTTGCAAAACAAGTTCTCACTATGGAGTTTCCCTTTCCACCTCCAATCTTTAAGGTTCAGTATCACACTGGGAAGAGGGGGGCTGCAAACCTTCAACAAATCCCAAGTTGTTACACTTCACGTGTTTATTATTTTTGTGACACTGTCACCAATCGCTGCTCTGTAGGTCCCCCAATCTGACTAACCAATCCGCCAGGGTCCTGCACACTGTCCCCTCTCTGCCTTCTCTTCCCCTCTGAGCCCACCTCCGGCTGCCTTGCACATGGTCCCCTGCGGCAGCCTTCGCACGGACCCCTGGCTGCCTGAAGTCCATCCTTCCTTCGTACCTTCTTTTATCGATCCTTCTCCTCTATTTCTGATCCAAACTAGAACTCGAAAGAGACACTCCCATCTGGGATTACAGAGCCACAGGACTCCAGCCTTGGAGTTACTCTTCTGAGCTGCATTTGCAGGCAGGATCAGCTAACAGCCATCGCGTGTGTCAAGTAGCAAGAAGAGGCTGTGACAGTCAGGCCACGTTCAGTGGGGATAATCTCCCTGGCTTGAGTGGCTCCAACTGGCATCCTTCAAGTTAAAATGAAGGCCTTTCTTTTCTCACATTCACTCTTTCTCTCTGTCCCTCCCTCCCAGCAAAGTGACAGGTGACCAGATTCACTAATTTTGCTTTCTCTGTATCCTTAAGGAGGATTTTCCTTAAGGAGGAAAAGCCAATCCATAAGGTCTGTTAGGAAGAGCACAAGAAGATGCCCTCTGTTAGGATCTGAAGAAGGACCATCTCTTTGGAAGGCTCTGTTATAGGTACCACTGAGCCTACTCATTCACACTTGTTAGTTTCCTGTGTTACTTTTATATCCCGAAGAGACTGTATCAAGTCTATGTATTATACTTTCCCCATTTCTCCATCACTTAACAACATACATAATCGTGGATGGTGGCACACAGCCTAAATATATAACCTGTACACACATGTGCAATTCCTGCACTTAAAGGTATCTGCATCTAGATTCTCATCATCACAGGTCTCATAAATGTGTTATAGGAAAAGGAGCACAACTGTTGGTATCCCTTAATATATTTTAAAGACTGTTAACTTTGCATATTGGCATTTATTATTTTTATTTTGTCAAAAATTGTTCAAAACATTGTAGACAGCAGGAGAAGGGGCTGACAGTTAACAGCGTTGTTCTGCATAAATAAATGCCATGATGGGTACAGAAGTGTTTAGCACAGGGACAGGACAGTGCAGAAAGCTCCCCAGTTGTCATCGCGAGTGTGGTACTGAGCTACCACATTAACTTTAACTAAAATTTTAACTTAGAAAAGCATTGTGTATTGTAGAAAATAAGAAATCATGCTTAAACCTAAAAACTAAAATAGGCATAACCCATACCTTTAGGTTTCTTACCTGCTTTAACTGTATTTTGAATTATATTGATAACATCGCTGGTAATAATTACCATTTATCAAGTCCTTCCTATGTGTCAAGCACTATGTGTTTTACATGTTTTACATACAGAGAAAATAAAGTAAAGTAATACCATGGGAGGTAGCTGTTATCCCCACTTAACAAATTAGGAAACTGAGGCTTAAGGAGATTAAACGGCTTGTCCAAAGTCACATGGCAAATGGAAGAGTTAGTTAAAAACCTCTCAATCCATAATCCACTTTCCTGTCTTCCACGTTATGCCTCCTGCTCTCTTGATTCTTAAATCTGCCACTAATAATACCGAGGAGAAGGGGAAGAGAGAATATGTTTTTCTATTCATTTCTAGACTATATTTTAATATTTCTAGTGGATTGAAGGTATCTTTTGTCACTAGTTGAAGTTTCAGAAGGTTTTGAAAAATTCATAATTTTCTAGAAAGAAATTTTTATCTATGCCCACATGATTTAAACCAGCATTCTCTCACCTCCAACTCTAACAGAGATATAAAACTTTTTGATGGCATTTATTACAGAAATTTATGTTGCTAAATTTTTTCTTTGAAATGACCTAAATCGTAGCACCTAGTTGACCAAACTTTAATTAAATGGCATCTTACTGAATTAATTCAAACAAGATCCTGTGTTCATATTGCATTAGTGCTCTGTGACAAATGTTCCGAGGTTTAAGAGTGGTTAAAATTCTCACAAGGCTGGCTTAAAGTCCAAGCCAAAACTTGTCCCTGAAGAGATTTCCAGAAGCTTAACAGTCAACCGAAGTGCATATCCTACAGAATACCTAAGTTTTATTCTGGTTACATTAACTATAAAATTATAACAAAAGTGCCATTCAGAATTCTGTTTTTTTGTTTGTTTTCGGTTTTTTGTGATGCAGTCCTACAGTGACCCCTATCCTGGCTTCCAGGATTCTGAAAGAGTCGCAACAGCCCAAGGGTATAAAATACAAGGACCTCAGAGAGCCAGGGGACTCCAGCAAGGCAGACGGCCACACCTCAGACCTCCAGTTCAACTTGGAAGGACCTCTCCTGTTTCAGAAGTAGAGTGTGCCCTTGAGGGCAGCAGCAGGCTGGCTCTTTCATCCTCACAAACAGCAGCCAATGCACAGACAGCGGGCTGGTCGCTAGGCTCACGGTGCCTCAGAGAAGCTTCTCTGGAGCCCCCGTGGGCTCCTCTGAAGCCGAGCACAGGAGCTGGCATCGAAAGCATCCATGTGAACTAGCCAAGTACCTGGTTCAAGTCTGACTGGTTGGTTTGTTTGCCTGCTTTCGCTTTTGTTTGTTTAAAATTTAAAACAGGATAACTAGACCCTCTATAACACTAGAGAATTCCCTGCTACATGTTAGCTGCTCCAATCAAAACAGCCACTCGGAAGGCCCCACGCTGCCTCCTCCCAGTGTGCCAGCACAGGGTCTGCGGAAAACCCCTCCACGGCTAAACACTTTCACACGCTGGGGTCATCGTTCCGACGGGCTCTTACCATACAGTTCATGGCAAAGTGATTGTGCTGCGTCTGAAGCTCCATTGCATGAGGGTGGCTGGTCCCAATCTCTGTGTAGCTGTTTAAAAACAGGCCTTTGTTGTGTGTGATCCAGTCAAACATCTACCGGAAGGAAAAAGATAACCTAGAATCACTTCAGAAAGAGAAAAGGCTGACACAGTCCCACAGATGGGGCTTAACCAAAGAATGGGCGACTTCCTTCCTCCGACAACTTCGCAGGTGTTTGGACTCGGAAGAGTCTTTACTTCTAAGAACAAGTCAGCACTTCTGAACTTGCAGGATCTACCAGAAAATCTTATCTAATGTGTTCCTCTAATAGAGGAGGGATCCAGGGGCACATAAGTAAGGAGAGGTATCCAAGCCCCCCAGGCTAATTAAAAACTCTGATCTGACTCAACCCAGCCTCCCTTCCATGCTTAATTTGTGACCTTACCCTCACATTCAAGACTGGTTAGGCAAAATTAGGGACTTATAGGCCTCTGGTTGGGTTTTGCTGGGTCCACAGATTACTGACAGCAATCCCAATGACTACAAGACTATACTCTTTAATAAAAGAAGTATACAGAAACCTGTGTAAATGCAAACAATAAAATTCACTGTAAAAATAAAAAGGACTTGGGAAAAAACTTCACAGTGACATCTTGAAGTTCAATATAGATGCTACTTCCACAAGGAAGTCAATTAAGATGCTCTTGAGGAAAACACTTAAGAAAATAGAAATGACTATCAATTAAGCATTGCTATTGTGACATGAACCAGAATCCCAAAAACAGTAACCTTTTTTTCTAGTAATTGGACGATTTTCTAGTGTCTTTGACAAGGCATAAGAGTACACTGACAGATGCTAAAAGCTTACCAAATAAAAATACTGGATTATCACCTTTCAAAAGGTCCTTTTATACCAAAGATTTCTAATGCAGTCTTTTAGTTTACAAAACATTCTCCTGTCCATGTAAAATAAAATTCAATGAGCTCAAATACAAAGTGATTAATTCATCCATGTTCATGGCCTGCAACACATACCTAGAAATAAGTGTCCTGTTTTCACACTGCTAAGACTGAATTAGCCAGTAATTGATAAGAATTCACTTTGACCAGCTGGTGTGTTTGGTGCACAAGAATAAAACATGAGACCACAGGTAATTACTGCCTGTATTCTACAGAAACTATTACTTTTAACACATTACTCACTTTTTATTTTAAAACTATACTCACTAATAGATCAGAATGTAGTTCTGTCAACAGCTTTGTACTAGTGAAAGAGCAGGTATTAGCAAAACACATACACAATTATTGCTTTTAGGAACACAACACTATGAAATTTTCACTCTTTTAATTGAAACTATCATTCTTGTCTATCTTACAGACATTCTAGACCAAATCATCAGTAATTTTAACTCAAAATTTCTAAAATGGCACACGTAAAACTGGAAAACAGGTTTAAATGTCATCTCCGAACTGCCCCTTCTGATTTATGGCGGTGAGTATACGCTTCGCATTCTCCCCCTTTTCTCTTTCCTGTCACCTGACCACGTCAGCCCTGGCTGCTAGACCCAGTGACCCAGTAGCTCCCCGTCCCACAAGCAGGCACTATCTCCCTCTTACCTTCTCGGCATCCTGTTCAAACAGCCGCAGCTGAAAGCACTGGTCCAGCTTCAGCTTCCTCACGTGCCACATCTGGTGCAGGTGCTGCCGCGTCGAGTGCAGCCTGTCCAGCATGGTGGACACCTTGGGCAAGAGGTTCTGCAGGTCCGCATTGCCTGACCCCGAGTTCTTTTTGGGAAAGCTATCACTGCTCTGAATCCTCTGAAGCAGCTTCTGTCCCTCCAAATCCAAGTCCTCGATGGGGGCCTTAATCACCTTCTTCTTCAGCTGGGAGTGCTCCTCGATCATATTCCGAGCCCCCTCCAAATCCTGAGGCAACTCCTTCTTAGCTAGGATGTCCTGAAGTTCCTCCAGCCGAGACAGCATGTGCGTTGCATTGCTAATGTAGTCTTCAAAAGCAACTCTGATTTCAATCCATTCTTCGTGGTTGTATTCCAGGCAGCCATCAAACTCGGGAGTTAGCTGAGAAGGATCAACTACTTTGGTAAGGCCTTCTAAAGAGACCATATTTGTCTTAAGGGAAAAAAAATCATGTATGAGAAGATGAACCAATTTTATATAGTCTCAACATAATGCAATGGGCAATGCTTAGTCACAGGTGTTCAAAGTTAAAGTAATCTATTCATAGAAAATGTAACATACCTCGTTCCGGCCCCATAAAAATAATACAGATGAAAGAAGCATTATCAGTATAAAGAAAGATAAATCCATGAGAGCAACACATATGCTAGTTGGAATACCTAAAATGATAGAATCATGTGTATTTCATGAGAACTAAAGAAATGAGATTTCTTTCTAAGAATCTGGAGATTAACCCACTATCTTAGGCACACTAAACCACCAGGAAATATGTTAAACTGCAACTCCAGAGCAGACAATTCAAAACCTTCATTTTCTTCAATGAGTTCTTCTACCTACTGGTTCTCATCCCTGCCATTCTATCTCCTCATTCCCAACAGAAAACTCTGCAGAGGCTCCCTGCTATCTGCTGTCACGTTAATGTCTTGCTCACGGGCGTGCGTGTGGGCTGCTTATTAAATGATGAATGCTGCTCCAGCCAGACCACCCTTATCATTCATCTTCCCTGCCGCACTTCCCATCAAGCAACAGTTGACAGGATACAAATGACTTTTTAAAAATTTAGAAAATATCCAAGGGTTAGCAAGAAAGCTGGCAGAGGCTCACGTCACAGAGCTAAAGACAGAGGGAACATTTCATTCATTGTAATAATCCGCTGCGATTCTGAGCAGTCTGGGTGTTGCACGCAATCTGTACTACACTCCAATTTAACAGTGACAACGCTTTAGTCAATTACAGTCTAAGGACGAATTCTTAACCTCACCCAGAATGTGAAGTAGACTAATACTAGTATTATGCCTCAAGGACAAGCTGGGGGTGATTAAATGCAAAGACAAAGGCAAAGGAACAAGAGCTGTGGCCTAGAACCAAAAGATAAAACAGAGCCGGGCTGGTCTGGCATGCTGGTTTGTCCTAAGGAACAGCAAAAGGCAGCACAGTTAGAAAGAAAGAGCTACAAAGAGGGGCTCTGCCAGATCCAGCACTTTGGCTTACAATGTTATTGTAGGCCCATTCCTGTCTCATTTGCTGGACTTTTAATAACCTCTGTGGAGGCAATCACTCTCAGAGAGAAGTTGGTAACAAGGAAGACGACAAGTTCAGTAGAAAAACTGGTATCGGTACCTTTAAAAGCCCAGAGGGAGACGTCAACATTAGACTGGCAAAAAGCTGCATGAACTACATTGCCAAACAATTATTTTTACTTAAAATGTGTGTGCATATGTGTGTATGTATGTGTATAATTTTTTTTTTAAAGACAGGGTCTCAGCTCTGTCACCCAGGCTGAAGTACAGGGGCACAATCATAGCTCACTGCAGCCTTGAACTCCTAGGCTCAAGTGACCCTCCCACCTTGGCCTTCTGAGTAGCTAGGACTATAGGCATGTGGCACCAAGTTTGGCTAATTTTTTTTTTTTTGTAGATATGGGGGTCTTACTATGGTGCCCAGGCTGGAGTGCAATAGTACAATCATAGATCACTGTAACCTCAAGCTCCTCAAGTGACCCTCCCACCTTGGCCTCCCAAAGCACTGGGATTACAGGCAAGGGTCACTGCACTCAGGCAAACTTATATAATTAAATACAACACACTTTAAATTCTGCATCAAGAAAATAAGTAAGACCCAATAAATTGTTCTCCAAAATTACTTCTTATTGTGGTTTACTGGTTTCATCTTTCACCTAAACCTCCTGAGTATGGTCTCAAATTCAAATTAAACCTAAAGTCAGATTTCAGATAGAAAAACCTAAAGTCAGATTTCAGATAGAAAAGTACTGTGGAAGAAATTTAAAAATTTAAGTAATACACATGTGAAAATACTTTGAAAAATTTAGCATATCACCTAAAGATTAAGTATTAATATTATCTCATATGTTTAATATTATCATTGCAATTTGTCTTGAAACACATGAACACATTCACTGAAACCTAATGTATGGGCAGAGCTGCCAGAAGAAGCAATTTATTCAACCAAAAATTATTATAATTTATTATTAGAAAATTAAAATTATTTTCCAATTTTATCCCAAAATGGGGGCATGAGTCAAGTTTCAAGCTGGCAGGAATACTTTCTTCCCATAATCATCTCATTAAACTAACTGCATCAAAAGCCTTGTCAGAACCTTGGCAGCTTAAGGAGAGGAGGTTACGGTGGAAAGGAGAGTAAGTTAGCAGACTGAGGTTTGTTTTATACCACTGTCTGAAAGACAGCTATCTTCTGTGCCTAATTGGATTCAGGACTCTGCACAGTTTTTAATGGAATATCTCCATTTTCATAAATGACAGACCTAATACATGAAATAAATGACAGGCCATTCTCTCCATTATCCATGACAGGATGAAACTCGGGCATCTCTGTATTTTTCCCTCAGGAACTCTAAAGTTGGGCGCTTCTCCTAACATTCCCCATCTCTGAGACTAAGGCAACAATAACGACTCTGTAGTCGTGCAAAGCCACTTGTGCTGAGTGGCAAAAGCTGTTTTATCAAGTGAAGTACAAGGGAACAGGCTTCTCTTTCTAAGGTAAATGCCTCACCCCTCGGCAGCCCATCACCCAAATCCAAGAGAACTGAAACCTAAAACCCCCTTGGGTAAAGCCACCCACTCAGAATGCAACTTTATTATATTTTATGCAATAACTAATTTTACATAGCATGTGTATGCTAAGTAAGATACACAGTTCTTGTTTAATGAGTGGTTTTAAAAATCTATCATCAGCCTGAGGGTTGAGAAAGTCAGCTTTTAACAAGCCACACCAATTGGTTCTGTGGGTCTGGCTACCCTGGGGAAGTTACCTCAAATTCAAATTTGGAACTGCCAAAATTAGTCCTCTGTTTCTGCCAGAAGTTGTCTGGCTTGATGATCAGAGCCACGTGGATGCAGCAGGGGAAGGACTCCTGCAGGATCTTCAGCAGGGGCTTGATGGAGTCCCACTTGGACCCACGCATGTCCACGATCACCGTGAAGCCTCGCTTGCAGACCTCCTCGCTGCAGGGAAAGAAAACACAGGCTGAAACCGGCTGCCCCTGCAGCGGCACACAACTCCTGCCGCTTTGTCTGGGCAGGGTCCCACCCGGTCCGCAGCCTCCGCTTCCTTCATCTTGCCTGATGGGACAAGAGCTGCCCCCTCACCTGTGGAGCTCAGCTCTGTCTCACCCCTCCCTGTACCATAAAAGAACAGAACTGGACTACACGTGCATTGAGGAACAGTGACACATTGCAACAGGGTTCAAATCCAAAACTCTTCACAATTTTTATTTTGTATGTATGGTTTTGCATCCTGTCTTCTCTTGAGAAGAAAACAACACCCATCCAGCCCATTCCTCTCACCTCTGTGTACTGGCCGGTCACATACACGCATCCAGTGACTCCAACGGGCAAAGGGATCACCAAGTGGGCACAAAACCCTAACAGTGTACAGAGCCCAGGCCAGGGACAGATCCGACATCTGTAGACAGCAGCTACCCTTGGACCCCCAGAATCACAGACATTCAAAATGACCCCCTACCAGTGTGGCTGGCAATGGTGAGAGCTTTCTGACCTCCCTTTTCCCCGCTTACCCTCTCCCTGGCCCTTACAGTATCTCAGCAGTTCTCCAAGTACAGTTCACCATTCCTGGGAGTTCCGGGAACCCTTCTGGTGGGCTCTGTAGGGCAAACCCAGTTTCATAGTAGTATTGAGACTTTATGTGCCTTTTCCCTTGGTGATACTGATGGTGTGAAAGCAACAGTGGGGTAGCACTGCTGGGCTTTGACACCAATCAAGGTAGTGCTAGGAGCCACTGTGTTCTTCCTTTCCACATTCTTATAGTGTAAAAAAAAAAAAAAAAAAAGCCAGCTTCAAATTTTATTAAGTCTTAACTCCCGACTATGCTATGTGGGAAATACACGTAATGCAAGTCTACATGTGCAACAAAGAGTAAACTGTTAGAGGCAAAGACCCTCAAAGACCCTCAACTCCCCTATGACTCGTCCTACACACGGACTTCGCCCTGGAAAATTCCAGCTATAGCTCTGAGAAGAATGCAGTCCATGACGTGCTGACCACGGGATGCTCCAGGGTATGCTGACTGCAATTGTTCCCGACCACCTGCCAGGTTGGAGATGAGTAACCAGTCAAAAACAGGATACTGATAAGATGCTGATTGGGGCTAATTAACCCAGACCCAAGCCTCATCGTCAACACTCTATTTTTTTGCCTCTACTTCCTTGTTTTTGTATGCTTATAAAACCTACTAAGAATCTAAGTAAAGCAGACCTTGACAATCATTCGCTTGGTCTCGTTCCTTTCTCTCGCTCATCTCTTTCAGGCACGGTCCCCCTCGCCCCCGCGAGTAACAGAAGGTCCCGCAGAAGGTCCCGCGGGTCGGGACAGTAAACAAGAGTCAAGATGTCCTTAAACACAGGTTAAAGAATACCCAGTCTCACCAGGTTATAACCAGTGACACATACGGAAGCTTCTGTACCGGCTTCCCAATGGCCCTACAGCTAAGGAACACTGCAATGCTCACTGCTGCACAGGGGACAGTCTGTGCTGGCTACTGGTGCCAGACGTTAACCAGGCAATGCCTGCCTGCACGGTCTTTGGAAATACACCTAGGACTTTATGTGTACTCAATGAGAATGTGGGGCTTACCCCAAACATGAATGTACTGCCAGGATGAGAAAGACATTTGACTTTTTTCTGCTTTGGGAATCACCCTGAAAAACTAGTCTAAATTAAAAACTCAGAAAGCTAATTGCTATCACTATGTTAAAAAAAAAAAAAACCAACCAAAAAAATAACTCAAAATTAAAACCAACTTCGTGCTCTCTCTTGCACAGGATCACTCCCCTACCCTTGTCCACCACACTCACTCACACATCCGCCTCTTCCTTATCTTCATTCATACCATCAGAGTAATAGCTTTCCGAGTCTTACAGATGCAAAGTGTAGATGACAATCAGCATAAGAGGCTGTGTCACAGAAACTTCTGTGGCCCTAGAAACCAAGCAGAGGGCAGCTCACAGTCAGAGATGCAAGGTGTTCAAAGCCCTGACGAAAAGACAGACTGATCCAGCAGCCCAATTTATCACCCAGATGTTGAAAACTGCTCAGGAACTATGTGAGTAACATCTGATAACTACCCCCATATGAACAGGAACTGAAACTGAGTTCAAACACTCCTCATGCTGTCACTTCTGCTCCCCACCCCAAGCCACCGTGGGTTACTATCCACGTAACATCACAGGCAGAAATGTTAGTTTTCTTCAGCCTCCTTCACAAAACCTACAAGCAAACAGGACTCCCAGATATGTCTCCTGAAGTGTCCCAATGAACAGGAACTAAGCATTCTGGATCTCCTTGGGCTCTAATGGGACTTACAATCCTACAAAATTCTATTCCTTAGAGACTCCAGGGCTCCGGAAGTACTGGGGAGAGCACAGGTGCCATGATGCCAAGCGCTCTGCAGAGGAAGCCTGGTGCCCTACAAGGCATTCATTCCACTCCAGATTCACATATTCTGCTCCCATACGCCAAAGACAGGAGACTATAAAACCATAGCAATGTTTTCTTTACTAGTTATTGTTTGGCAGACTGCACTCTGAGCATCAGTCTTCACCATATCAAGATAAATTCCCTTGCAGCCTTTCTCCTAGTGGCCTTTTGCAGTATGCACATAAACTACAAAGCCCCTCCACTTGAAAGCAGCTTAAAAGGAATCCTGAGTAACTCCAGGCTTAACAACAGGAACAAGTAGGAGACCAACAAAACCAAAAAGAACATTGAGCCTGCCTAGTTTACAGAAGGATTAACTATTCACCTTCCTCCAAGATCAAACCATTACCACCCAGTGGCTTCCCAAGTAATAAAAACAGCATATGAACTGGGCTGGGAGTGCACAGCCTTTCAATGCATCTGTTTTATCAGGTTCAAAGCCAGTCATCATTAAGAGAACAGGGATTGCAAACATCCCCAAACCTGGTTCCTATTTATAAGCATGTAATGAACACGTATGGTTGCCTACAGGAGAAGGGCTCTAAGCCTTTTATCTTGTAGGTACTGCTCTTTGGAAAATGTGACTCTTTAACCAATTATCTTAGCAGTTTTTCCAAAACTGCCTCATTTTATCTGTGAGATAAAGAAAACTTATATAATAATAAGGTCCCCTGCCAACACAGGTCTCTAAAAAAGAGAAACTGCTTTCTTTCATTCTTAGACGAAGAAAGTATCTTTCTATAGGCATGTTCATGAATGAGTGTTAGGGCGGCCTCAAATCTCCCAATTTTCTAATAATGGCTAAAAATCAATCTTGAGCTCTTCCTACCCTTTGCTGCTAGTTTCTCTCCCAAGCTAGCAGGCAACCTGCTGGGACTCTGTTTCCACAAACATCCAAAAAGAGCCAAAAGAAAGGAAATGCAAAGCTTTCTCTTTACATTTTAGCAGCTCACAGCCAGTAGAATTTGTTTCTATAGCCTAAAGGTATTCCTGAAAAGCTCCCAGACCAGACAGCAGGGAGTAAACTCCAGGAGTTCCTTTCCTGCCAAATACCATATCTCAGGGGCAAAAAATCACATCCTCTGTGATAGGCCTGACTACATCTCAGAGATAACCAAGTCTCCAGGAACAGAAGAAACAAGAAAGATGGACATCTTGACGTCTTGAGACTGCCTGCTAATTACTTCACAACAATTACAATTTTTCTTTCTGTGCCCATAAAAGCAGAAAGCCACCTGGCCTCGCTGTTGGCATCTCCCTTCTCTTTCTTTGGGATGCCCTGCCATGTCTCTTGCTCTCCCGCCCCCCTTTTCTCTCTCATTCTGTCCTTTTAAAAGATAAAAAGTTTATTTTATCTTAACTTCTTATATCTTAATCTGTGTGAGAAATCTTTCTTCACCTACACCGTGAACACCTACTAAGTTTTCCACCCTAACAAATCAATTAAAATTCTTCATATTATTTCATTAGTAACAGAGAATAAGGGTGGTTTATCCATTTAGCAACTGTAAATCATTCTAAGAAAGGCAAAATGCTCTAGAACATAATTAGTATAAAATATGATTCAAGCAATAACCACCTAGCAATGTTCCAAGATTAATACTATTTTCATTGCTATGCAGGACTTCCAATGACACAAGCAGGAACTTCTGCTACTGTTTCTCCTACACACATTTAATGGAAAGTTTCACTAAAGATTAATTGCATGAACCACCACCTTACTATTCCAGTTATTTTTTAAAGGGGGGGGGCAGGTGTGACCCAAGTAATATAAACACTCAAAATTGCCTACAGCTGCTCAGGTCAAATTTACTTTCAACTGTGAGGGACACAGAAACTCTGGAGGGCGTGTGGAAGCAAACAAACAATATGATCTGCCTCTAGAAAGCTACCAAAAGGAAAATAATCAATGGAAAATAAAAGAGTGAATATGAAAGAAAGAAATTATCGTACTATTTCTGAGGCAGCTACCACATGGCAAACACTGTGCCCCTATGTACATAATTTTACTCAATACTCACGAGGATCCCAAGATGTACAGATCATTATTACATTTTGTAGATCAGCAAATCAATAAAAATAATTAAGTCACTTGTCCCAGGCCACAGCCAGTCTGATTCTGAGACCCACGCTGTCCCTTCACACACAGGAACGTGTGGCCCCGTGACTGTCTGGCTGGAGGACAAAGCTCAGAAGAATGTCAGGCGTAGTGGACGGAGAAAAAGCTCTCACCGGCCCCAGAATATACACACGAGTGTAAAGATAAGCAGAAATACCTTGTGTTTATACCACTCTGAAACTAGAACATATAATCAGACTTACAACTTATATAAAACCAAATCCACAAGTCCAAAAGATGTCCCACACTATTAATTTGTGGGTGATGTTTATTGATCCCATTGTTTGACTAAAGCCAAACAGCCTCCTGCATGAAGCACTGCCTGGAGGCAGGGTGCCTGCAGGAGAGAGGACTCCGGTCAGTCGACATTCCTATGTGGCAACCTGGAAATCTTTCTCAATTATCCCTTGGCAAATGCGTCATTCACACGTTAATTCCACCTCTATTATTTGCTCACTAATCAAGGAAAAGCTAAATGGCATTTCTTGCCACTTGGGATTGTAAATACAAAAGCAAATCTAGGCAATGAAATGAAGTGCCTGTGCTCACTGCTGGACGGTCATCCTACACACTTAAGAATTTATGAGTGAAATGATATGATGTTTGGGATTTAGTATAAAGTCCAGAGGAAAAAACATCGAAAAACAAGATTTACAAAATTTGATAAACGTTGAAGCTGGGTGATAGGTATATGGGTGCTTGTTATACTATTTTCTCCACTTTTGTGTATTTTCACAATTTCTCACAAGAAGTTTTTTTTCCTTAAGTCATGTAGATTATCCAAAATGTACTTGAAGTGATTTTTTATATCAATGAAATGAAAAGCATTTTTATATTTACTAACATATTTAAAAACTAGAAAGTAAGTTGTCAAAGTTACATATAGTAGTCCAATTACATTACATTTTAAAAAATCACATAAATACCAAATGCAACTTTAGGTTTTTATGAAGCTATAACAAGTATTATTTTGATTGGCAGGGATTTTTTTTTTTTTTTACATCACCCCTTGTATTTCTCTTTTTCCATCATGAGCACAGACCTGGCACATAGTAAGAACCCAGGAAGTGGGAGCTATAAACTATATTGTGTTATTTATAAATGACAGTGGGTAGTAAATAACTTTAAACTCCTTTCCAACTATATCATTTCAACAGTTCAGCCATCTAAGAAAACACCAGAGTAGAAGAAAAGAAAGACTGTTTCCATATGTATAAGTAAGGCTCCATGACTTAATTACTGATGGCACACAGTGATAGTTTTTTCAATAAAGGCTACACTAGCCAAAAACTCAAGAACTTCCTCAGCAGGTCAAACCATCAAGACCAAAAGCTGTCTTTCATCAGCCACAGCAAGGATCTGTTACAAAGGGGCACAGCTGTCTTCCCCGGTTGGTGTCAACCTAAATAAGAGTGCTGTAAACCATGTGCTGCAGTAGGCTATCACATTCACCTTAACCTTTTGAAACCCATTACACTGTTACTGACCATCTTATATTATTCTCTTGCATAACAAGTCCTTAAAGTGACTACCTACTACTCTAGCCCATATATGACCAAGTTTCTTCTACACATCCTAATTCAGTCTCAGGAAATGCCTCCTCTCATTCTACCACGGACATCACTGATGCCCTCTTTAGCACGTGCCTTTCTGGAATGAAGGAGGCACCTACGGATTTACTCTTTCCTCATAGGCAAGCACCCCTTCAACCAACAACACAGGCCCGATCTGTTATTCCAGGCATAACTGTGTCCTTGGATTATACCACAGCAGTATTCTATTTTCCAAAAAACAACTGGAACAATTAAATGGAGATAATAATATAGGGACGAAATTTCCTCCACCAGTGGTCAGCTACCTCTATAAACAAAGCCCGAATAATACATTCCCAGGGCAGAAATGAAGATTCTAAATTCCTCGAGTATACACACAGATCAACTCCTATTAACTCACTAGTCCCCACTCTAGGGCTCTCCAGGAAATAAAACATTGCTTGTTCCTGGTGTTTTTCAGCATCCATGCTAAAAATCTCCTTATCACTAACAGAGTCTCAAATTTGATGGGAGTTCCCAAACTGATGCCCAGTATATTTAGGTAGTAAGACTTTTGTATGCCCACAAACTTCATGCCACAAATCAACAGGCTATTTTTAAGGAAAAGAAGCTTAGTATGAAGACAGAAGTGTATAAGCAAAAACAGCACCCAATTTCTGATCATCCAGCCCACTGTGTCCTGGTATCAGAATCATTAGTGATGACTGTATCTAATATCTTTAAATCCCAGCTTAGTATCACAAATTCACTGCCAACACACGAACCTCTTCGCTACAAGATACCTACCTACATTCTTGTCCCTGCCCTCAGAAGTGTTTTACATAAGACAATAATTGTCACAAAATAGAAATAAGGAGAAAGATCATGATTTTAATTTTATGCTATTTTTCTTGGAATTCAAGCTACTGTTTAGCCATTTTCTAAAGAATATAGTGCCATATCTCTTGGAATTGTGAAAAAATTGACAAGCCACATGGAACTTACCTTGGAATACAGGCTAGATATGAAATGAGTCTCCTGAGATCCTCCTGTCGTATTCTGTCATGATTGCTGCGGGCTGGAAATGTTAAAATGGGACCCCCACGTTTATCTCTACCACCTAAAAAACAAACATTGGGAAGAAACTTAGACAAAAACAAGATAAGACAAGTCCGTCATCACCCATTCACTCAGTCAAAACTGTTCCGAAATCAACTGCACAACTGGCAAGTTGCAAAAGGCAAGAGTCTTTGTTTCATCTAAGACATGGTGAGGCTGTCTTATCCCCTCATGGGACACGGAAAAAAATTTCTGAGTTTTGGAGGCTACATGGAAGATGCTAGATGCTAGAGATGGGCTTTTTTTTTCCCCCAATGTGTTGGAAGAAACTTCTTTCTTTAATTTTTATGTTTGGACAAAAAAAAAAGTTTTCATGTAACTGTGTATCATTCATTTTAAACCACCACCTCCCTCCTCATGCCTTCTCTCTCTCTTTCATTCTCCTTCTGTCCTGCATTCTAATTTTAACTCTTCCTTTTCTACCAACCAAATTGGGTTCTAAGTCTTGAAAGGGAAAAAAAAGGAATGTTCTTCAAACTACACTGGTGACTACTTTATATAATCTGGGATCAATGGCATCTGACCCCCAATGGTCAAGCTTTGCCCATCTCTTCTTATACGAAGCCACGTACACACACAAAAGAAAGACTGGCACATGAAACTTTAAAAGCAATTTTAAACCTAATTTAGTTAATTAGCTTAAGGATTTGAGAAAATTATATTATACACTAAAAGTACAAATCTCAGAGTATTTGACTTTGACAGGCAGGCAGGCAGAAAGATTTCTCATTAACATACAACCTTAATGAAGTCAACTTGGTATCACTGAACACTTTTGGTGAAATTGTCACATTTATTTTATTACTTCCGTCAGGGTTGTCAGAAAAAGAGAGAAAGAAAACTTAGCCTTCTCAAGTGGATCCTTCATTTAGTTTTACAACTCTGATAATCTCCTTTCAGGAGATCTCAAAATTCAAGTCACGATATGAAACTCTTAATTATTTTCTACGCACCAAAAATTGTCAGCAGAGGTGAAATTAAAAAGCAGACAAACAACAAGCAAACAAACCAGAGTCTTTTCTTTTAGAAAAGCCAAAAAAAAAAAAAAGTATGCAGGAGATGATGGTATTTTAAAAACATATTTTACCAACATGGTTTTTATAATTTCCTAGAATGGTTACACACTCATGCTAAATAGTAATGAAACTTAATTCTGATTGTGAGTACTTAAAATTCCACATGTACTGTTCAGTCATGCAATCTAGGAAAGTCTTAAATTGTTTATAAATCCAGTAATTCAGGTATTAAAAGAGAACAGCAAATCACAGCTCCCAAAAGACCTAGGTGGGGAATCATGTGCAATACATGCCCTTTATGGTGTGATCTTCACAATGACCCTGTTAGGAAGTACTATCATTCCAGCTTTATAAAGAAAGATACTGAAGCTCCAAAGCTTATATGCAACACTGTCACTGCTAGGCCCTTTGCCCTGACAATAACTTACATCATCTTTCAAATTAGTGGCTTTAGTTCTTTTTGAAAGTAGTAAAAATGTCAAAAGGGTGACTAAATAAGGGGTTCCTGGGCCTTTTTAGGGGGTAACATTTATGAATGAAAAGTACTATTAAAAGTGAGGGGCAGTACTGATCATTACCATGTAATCTTGTAAAACATCAGGTACTAATTCCAGGGTAAATATCAATAGCTCTAATTTTTTCAGAATACCTCTTACTCCTAAGATAAGACAAACAATAGTCTCAATATTTTTCATTTCCCAATATCTTTCATGTTTTTAAAAAGAGAGTCAATCTTCTTGGTCAAAAATATCACAGATCAAGACATTATAGTCTAATTTTTAAAAATACAGTATATGATACTTGAATTAAAACATTCCCCTCATTTTTGATAAACAGAAAGCTAGCATCTAACATTTTTTATGGACTATCATTCTGAATTTTTAAAATGTTTCTGAAAGGCATCACAATTTTTAATTCCATAGGGAGAATAAATGCCAATGACCCATGTTCACCTCTCCCTCTTGGGTCACTATATCTCACAATCAAAGCGAGGCGCACACGTGAGTGTGAGAAAATCTCAAATCTGTTAATCAAGTTGCATGGGAGTCAGTAGGTACGCACACTGCACACAGCCATTCTATTCACCCCAGACCTAAGTACTAAAGGCAACTGTGTGCAGAAGTTCCAACTGCCTCTGTTGTATTTTTCCTACTTTTCCCTAGGTTGGTAGACTGTACAGAGTCCTCAAACTACAGCCCGCCGGCCACATGCAGGTGTTTTGCCTGTTTGTTTTTTTTTACTTCAAAATAAGATATGTGCAGTGTGCATAGGAATTTGTTCATAGTTTTTTTTAAACTATAGTCTGGCCCTCCAACAGTCTGAGGGACAGTGAACTGGCCCCCTGTTTAAAAAGTTTGAGGACCCCTGCTCTAAGACTTGCTAGCAAGTACATCCACCAAACAGGCTCTCATTCATGTCCTAAGAAAAGCTTATATAAACTTGAATCTCAATTTAAGATACAAAAATTTTTTTTCACTTTTCTTTTTCCTAGAAAAGAACTTCAGAAAACTTACTAAAGTAGTTTTATTATACAATTTCATAAAAAAATCATTTATGAAGTAAAAATTGCATATTCTCTACTTAAAGAGTTAAAGAATCTGTTTTCACGTGCTAACCTCTCTGCAGTGGGTGCAATAGATGGTGCACCTTAGTCAGTGACAGGCAGGTGCCAATGGCCCCCTGCTGATCCTCCCCAGGGAGGTAAAAAGAAAAACACCTCAGAAAGGATGAAATGTGGTATTAGTTCAAAGGAACATGGTCTCTGAACCTTAAGGAGCTTAAAATGAACTCCATGGGTGTCTGTTTAAATTACATTCCCCAAGATTTAGGTTGGTTGCCAATGTCACAAGAGGTACCCAAATGAAAACAGCATCTGGGTATGCAGCAGAAAAAGTTACAAGCTCTAAGTTCTTATTTCTGCTCATGAACTAATAAAAAATAACAACACTGCAGCTCATAAAAACTTCATCTACTAGGTACACTTATATGTGTCAAATGTCAACCCTCAGCCTCACGGTGAGGCAGGCAGGACAGACGTCAGCCCTGATTTATAGACGGGAAACTCAGTGCCTTAGCTTCTACAAGGAATGGAAAAAAGCAGGAAATACATTTCCTGCACCTGCCAACATCACAGGATGTCTACGCCTGGGGCCTCTTCATGTCTGCAACCAAAGACCTACAGCTCATTAAGGATTATCTGCCTATCCAAATGCTGTCTTAGAAAAAGAAAAAGAAAAACAAAAGAAAAAAATGGTGAGGGTGTTCTATTTCTATTGGCATAAATTATGCATCTTCTCCCCCTTCCTCTCCCATACCCCATCTTATTTCTAGCCAGACTATACAATGCTCTTGGTGCCCAGTATGAGACTAGCACATAAACAGTACTCAATAAGTATCTGCTGAATGGATTCTTCTTTCATATTCACACATTAACTAAAAATACCTACTATCAGGTATCAGTTGTTAGAAATGGAAATGTCTGATGAATATTCCTACAGAAACATAGATGCCAAATGAACTGAGGTTTATTTCAGTAATAGAAAGAAGTTAAAAGAGTCCTACATCAGAGCTATAAATGTCTGTGTGACACTGATTTCCTCACACCCAGCAACCTCATTTCCCTCCTCTCAAAGGTAAGCCTCCAGGGGACTTGGTCTCTTGAGCAATGTGGCCCAGGATAGTCAGGGAAGCAGCCAGATTCACAGTCCCCTCTTGCCCTTTAAATGACTTAGGAAGTCACGTTTTGTTCATTTAGAATGAACTTGCAAGGAAGGCATACTGGATTTGAGGACTAAAGTTTCAATGAATCAACTATATTTTTCTCTATATATCCCTCGTTTCCGTTTCTAGATTAGAACATTATTGAAAACTATTCTTTTATGCCCCCCTGCAGAACAGTCTAACTCACACTGACCATGAAAAACAGCCTTTACAAAGGAAAGCTCCGAAAACCATAGTTTGTAAGAGAGAAATTATGGCTAATGTTTATTAATTGTGCTATTAAATAATAAAACTATTAAAAGGATGCCCATTGGGCTCCCACTCTAAGAGCAACCAAGGCAAGCACCTCACCAGCCCCGCACTTTTCTATACTCACTTCTTACTGTCTAGTCCTGAGAATCAGAAATTGGCTCACGGGAGATTTCTAATGATATTCTAAGATGACTCCTTTTAACAGCCTGCTTAGAAGGCCTCCTGCAGTCCCTGCTGCCTCACCCTGTGCTCGAATACACAAAGTGGATAGGTGATGCCCTCTTCCCTTTGCAGAAAATGCAGTACTCTACAAAACGAGAACATGAAGAACTAAGGTCATATACAACCACACAAACCTCAAGGCACCAAATCCCACATTCCTGTCAATACTTCCACTTGCTAAGCATAAATGTTCACCTCACCCCAGAAAAAGTTATTCTAAAAAAGTAACCCAAAGCCAGGTGTGAACGTTCACACCTGTAATCCTAGCACTTCGGAGGCTGAGGCAGGAGGATTGCTTGAGTCCAGGAGTTTGAGGCTATAGTGAGCTATGATGATGCCACTGGCAATAGAGTGAGACCCTATCTCGGAAAGGAAAAGAAAAAGGAAAGAGGAAAGGAAAGAGGAAAAGACAGGAAAGGAAAGGAGAGGAAAGAAGAGAGGGGAAAGGGGAAGAAAAAGAAACCCAAATGCCCATCAATACACTTCTGATTGAATTAACTATGGTGGGTGTGTGAGGTGTGTGTGTGTGCATGCATGTGTGTAAACACATATACATATGCACACATGAGTAACATACAATTGTAAAAACAAATGAGGACTCTATTATGTGCTGCTATATACTGACCTCCCGGTTACACTCTAAGATAAAACAAGCAAAGCGGAGAAACTGGTGCCTGATACACCACTATTTATCCAAGGAGAAAAAGATGAAAATAGATGGACAGATCAATAGAGCTGCTCACATTTTAAAAGCACAAGGAATAAACCAAAAACAAAAAAAACCCCAAAA